CCCCAAAACCCCAAAACCCCAAAACCCCAAAACCCCAAAACCCCTGATCCAAAAATTAGTTCAATTTATTGATTAATAAAAATTAACAATAAATGAGACCATAATCAACATTATTGTAAAAACGACACAGCCGAATTAAGTCAGGTATTGTAAGGCACAAACCACTACATTAGTCTTAGATTGAGCCCTCTGTAGAATTTAATTAACAAAGTCCTGATGCCATCAGCCAGGATCAGAGTTTATTCTAAAAAATGAGAGAACATCCATTATTCAGAAATCCTTCCAATGATAATCTAAGTCTCAAGAGAGACAATATAAGTTAAAAGAGGCTAAATAAGTCGAGTAGCCAGGCTTATATTAATCCTGATAGAATTAAGCATCATTCGAGGATTTAATCTCTTATTTAGCAAATGGTACCCTCAGAAAGAAATATGCAGGAAATAAAGATACCATTGAATCAAGCTGCAAATGATGGAGGTACTGCCATTACCAGTAATGATAACTCGCCAATGCCTAGATCTCTTTTTTCAATCAACAATGGTGGAAGAGATTCAATTATGAGATAATAGTCATCAATAGGAAAAGAATACAAAAAGGAATTGTAGAAATAGAAATCTGTTAGCATTTTGAAATAAGTTCTTGAGGAAAGTATACTAAGAACGGCTGAAGATTAGTTTAATCAGCAAAAAATGTTTCAAAAAGCTTATAGAGAGCATAACTAGTCTCAATTTAACAACAATCATCATAGGAGTTCAGTTTCAGAATTATCCTTCAAAAAAATCTCTGAGTCAGTCAAAAAAGTTGATCTGAGCCGCATTCATAACTTTGTAAGTGCTAGTCAATTTAACGAGGTCATGACTCTGAGACATAAAATAGATCTGCTAGAGAAGGAAAATGAAGAATTAAGGGTTCTGAATAGAGAAATGAATGAATTCAAGTAAATATTGGATCATCCGATGGAAGATATTGACTAGAGAAGATATCACCTACTCAAGTCTTAGGTAATTTAACTGACTCGATAAAATAAATTACTGAGTGATACAGTTCAAAGCCAGTCAAGATTAGTCAGAGAAACTGAGAGGATGCTACAATATCTTGAAGAAGCAGTTATGCTCTCTTCGAAAAAAGCAGAGTTAATTTATTAAAAACGAAGAGAGAGAATTTTAGAGAAAAAGAGATAAGAGGAGTTACTCAGAAAATAGCAATAATATTAAGAAAATGCTAAAAAGAAGAGAAGAAAGCAATAGCCTTAACCTGAATCAAAGGATGAGGGCGAGACTATTAAGCTTTATGAAATTAGCATTGATGAGTATAAATCAAGAATGGAGGAGGATGAAATTCAGACACTCGACTAAGTAAGAGAAGAACAAATAAAAGAATTGTTTAAGAGTGCTGATCCAAGGAACTTTATTCAAAAGCTAAGGTAGACATTCCATCACACAGTAATATAAGAAAGAAGAGCTTATCAAGAAAGTTTCTATGATTATCACCCTTTGATTCAAGCTAAAAGCAGAAACTATGATGAATTTGAATATAATCTCACGATAAATTTGAATCAAGGTCAAATATTGAAGTGTGAATCTACCATTGTTGAACTATTTAAGTTGCTAAATAATACCTATGACACTATCATCATTAAAGGAGAATTCCCAACTTCAAAATAAATTAACTAAGCCAAAATATAATTGAGATAATCAATTGATCAACTGCTACTTCTGGGATTATTACCAGTAGGATAAATACATGAGAATAAGAAGCATATTATAGTAAAAAACTCTAATCTCATTAGCCAAAATAATTATGAGCAATGGGCTAAATATGTTTCTGATAGAGTTCAAAGAGAAACCATGCCTCGAATGTTACCTTCAACTTGCGATAAATTTATTTCTGTGAATAATGAGTTCATTGATAAAGAGAGGCTTTTGAACATCATAAGGACAAGTATGTCTTCAAAGAAAAATGCTAAGAAACTAATGATGAATCTTATGTCAGAAGTCTTTTAAATTAACAACAAGCATCGAGCATAAATTATACTATTATCAAGAGAAAATACATTAATAAAAAATTTCTAGAATGAGTCTTAAAAACATCTGGAGAAATTTACAGAGTTTATCTACTCTAAGTATAACTTCTTTGCCAAAGATTTCAAATAGCATTTCTACAAGCCTTACAAGGAACTTTGTCTAACTTATAAAGAGTGCAAACTTCATGATAATGCCAAGAAATATGTAATGGCCTTTCTGGAGCAATTTGAAAAAACTTCAAGTGATCATTTTTAAAAAGCTTTTGATTTGTTCTACTAAGAGTAGGGACCTGATTTGAAAATTAATGATAGATTGGAAGATTTAATTAGAGCTTATAATGCTAATCAAAAGCTTTTGATGTAAAATTTAAATGATTACGAAAAAATCATGAATATAAGATTTAAAAAGGATGAGGAATATCAGCACCTTTTGAAGTAAAAGTAAATTGAAGAGGATAAAAGATTAGCTGAACTAAAGGAAAAAGAATAAAATGTGGATGAAGATGCTAATGAAAATTAGAAAGGAATGGACAATTATGAAACATTTGTAAAAGAAATTAAAAAAGTAAATATCTATAATTAGAAAAGTCATTGATTATTATTACAAATTTATATTTTTGATTTAAAGAAATTTGATTGGCTCTCAAGGGGTTTTGGGGTTTTGGGGTTTTGGGG